GCTGAGGTAACTTTGCAGTGATAAGAAGCTTCCATTGACCTTTACTAATTTTGGTTTTCTGGATTTAGAAAAGTCTCAACTCCCTAAGCAAGAATTTGCTTAGTGAGGCACTGAGAAACAGATGCAATGTAGGCATCTTGGTGCTTCCCACTCAGTACAACTTTCTTTTAGCAAACAAGTACCACCAATGAACAATGTGTGAGAGGTCACTGCTGGCTCTTGTCAGTCATAAATAGTAATTTTCTTTGTGTTGAATCAAATTTTATATGCAATAATATTCCACGGAACTTTGATTTTCAAGTAATACTAATGTTGGTAAGACTCACCTATCTTCAAGATTCATAAGGTATTTTTCCAAGTAGTATTTTAAAACCTAGTAAGTCTGTCCAGCCCCTAGAATACCTAATACAGGTGTGTTGTTTCATCAAAAGATCAGAGTGATAGCCCTGATTGTGTCTTTGCCTCTTCTGTAATCAAGAGTTCAAACCCCTGACTTGAAACAAATTTTTGATAAGACTTTGAAAATATACATCAGCTACATACATAGGGGTTTTTAGGTGCAGAAAGTCTGTATAAAGGTAGACCTCAAATGTGAGGACACAGAAAATGTTCCATGTGAGGCAAGAGCAAAACTACTACTGTCATTGTACACTTAGAAGATCTGAGCATCCTTTATGCAGACTAATGTAAGGTAGTAACTACTGGTCTAGGAGGCTCATCATGCTGTCCATAATACAGATAGATAAGAGACACATTAATATGGCCCATGGTGATCAAAGAGAAGGTTTCAAATGGTATTTTAAAAAATTCTGGTTCCTAAAGGCTTGCCACTTCAGTTCCTAAATTCAATGAGGGTTAGGAGATCATATTTTGACCCTAAATAAATAATGCAATTTTTGACTGTTCCTGTACTGTCCAAGGTAATCATGAATGATCTGGATTGACTCTACAGTGGTCAGGTAGTTTTTTGGGTGCTCCTAGATTTTATTAAAAATATACTAATATTTTGCAGTTGTTGAGGGGTGTGGGAAGGGGGAGTGCAGCAAGGGAAGAAGAGAAGCAGCCTTAAACAAGATATTTACCTGATTGAGTTCCCTAAAACCCAGGCCTTGTGCAGGCAGTGGGATGTGTAATGGGACTGTTACTGACACAGTCTTTACAGGACTGCCCTGCTGTAACACACATTGTTAATAGAGTAGCTTTAATTAAAAACTGCAGAGTTCATGATGAAATTGTTTTGACCCTTAAAGTTAGATTTGACTAATTCAGTGACTGCTCAGAAAAAGAATTCCTCTTGGGAACTGCATAGCAGAGTTTGGAAATACATCTGAAGATTAATTTGACACAGGAACCTGATTACAGAAGAGGCAAAGACACAAACCTGGTGAATCATGAATAGCTCGGATAAGCAGAGGTGAGGTGGAAAGGAGGAACTCTGCCTGAGCTTCCCCGGGGTATTCTTTCCTTGCTGGGGGTTGTTTGCAGAGAAGCTGAAGTGCTGTAACAGCCTCAAGCTCCACTCAGTGATGTTGCCTCCTCTTTTTCCGTGGCAGCTCGCTCATGTCCCTCTGCAAAACTGAGAGTAGCTTAAGGCCATCATTTCATGCATGGCTTGGTAAATTGTGCAAAGAAGAGCACTGCCAAACGAGGAGCCGAGCCAGTTTTCAATATGAGGGCCATCTGTGACAAAATGTTTTAGCAAGTTTGAAAACAATTGAGTTCTTTCTCGTTTTTACTTTGAGTTCATTTAGCATGTAAGTAACTTTGTAGCCTCCCAAGAGTATGCTTATGTTACTGTATCCTTGTTTGCTATGCGTTGAGTTTTTGTGGAGTCAAGTGGTTTCATTTCAGATTTGATCCTGTGTGGCACCAAAAAATGACTTTGCATCAATGTCACTTTTGATTCTTGCTGGAGACACTTCTCAAGGTAGATGAAACTCAGATATTTGTGGCAGATAAGATTTGTATCAATAAATTGCTACTGGTTACAGCAACAATGCCTAAACTTAAAAGTAGTTTATTGCTGAAAGTGGAAACATTTTAAAATTCGGGGTGGATTCTAAGTGAGCCTCTCTCCCTTAACCTGGCCAGTTACCTGCAATCTCCCATTACCATTTTGCTTCACAAAACATGAAGTTGTGTGTAATGGAGTTTCCATGTAACAAGAATTATTGAGCAGATCTGCAATTTGTTCTAGAGGTCTCTTGATTTGTCTTAAGCTTCTGCAATGAAGACTACCTCTATTGAAAGCAGAGTGGCAGTAAAGTGATATCAAATGTGTTCAAGTGTTTTTCTTGACTAATTTTGGTGTCACTTCATGAGAACAATATTTTTTTTTCAAAGGGTGATGGTACCTACCTTACTTAACAGTGCTCTTTCTAAAAGCAAGAGGAAAATTATAGAGTTGTTTTCCTGAAAGTAGGGGCTAAATTTGACTTTTAATTTAGGTATCTAACATGTCTGGGATTAAGCATCTTTCAGCTGGTACAGTAAAAGAAATGGAGAGAGAGTTACAGACAGTGTCACTCACTGAGTCAGCAACAGAGACAGAAATCTGCCTTGTGCCAGACCATCAGACCCCACTTTGGAAACATTGCTTGTACTGGAAAATTTGGCTGCTTGTTTCTGTTGACAAGTGTTCTCTGCAACAAGTAATTTTCAGAAAAAAAAGAAACCTTCTTGTGATTTTAATACTATTTTAGGAGGAACTGAGTAAGAAGAAAGTTCCTGACCTTTAAATGCATGTTTTATGTAGCAGGTGGGACTGGTAGGGAAACCCCAGCTGGAAAATATCCTCAAAAGTGAAGGATTCCAAAACTTCTTGAACTTGTGTTGTAGCTGCTTTTAGATAAGTGCAGAGCTGCCCATATGGAGAAGGCAGTCACTTAGGGATCAATCCATCTGCCTTTCATAATAAATGTTCTCCATGAAAACACTTGATCTCACAAGTGCAGGGATGTAGTACTTGTTACACTGCTTTTGAAGTGTTCCCTTCTTACACACAAATTGCAAGGGTTAGACACTTAAATGCAGGTTTTGTTTTCTTGTTTCTGCTGAGTGAAGTTGACTTCTTAGCGTATTTGCAGCTCCTTAACTTCAAATTAAACTGTGCAAATATACCTAGAAATGGACTGTGAATGTCTGTTAAAGCAGCAGTCTAATTCTGCAGCATCTACTCAATTCTGTAGGCAGTAATCTGCTTGAATACAGTGAGGCTTTTGGGAGGACTGCATAGTACTGCCAAGATTAGTCCCACTGTGTTGGTGCAAACTTTTAATGTTTTATTTTAATTCTAATTTTTTTAAATTTGTACTGGTTTATTGTGATATTTCACAACTTTTTACAAGGGTAATTGAGTAAAAATACTTGAAATAATGCTAAACTATTTCTAAACTTAGATCAATGAAAATCATATAGCTCTGACATTAGAAAATCTGGGTATTTCTTATGTTGGTCTCACATAATTAGATTCAGTCAATGTATTGTACACATACATTGTATAATAAGTATTTTCTAAAGACACCATGTCACTTTTAATATTTTAAACATATGCTAATGTTTGAGTCACACTTTTTTCACCATTGTGAATTTCACTTGCGTTTGAGGATCTTGAATCTCTGTTTTTGCTGCTGTTCCAACAAATCTGCTGAATGATAACACTGACATAACCCTTACACAAGGATGGAGCTGCAACCTCATCTCCAGTAACCGTGATAAACGTGGCTGTAATATTTACAGGGGAAAAGTGTGCATCAAGGGTGAAATGCAGAGATGCATTAAAACATCAAACATTAAAAAAAAAAGGGGCAGTTGTAGCTGCTTAATTGCTTTCCTTAGAAAGGCTAATGCAATGTCTGAGGAAGTAATCCCTAAATAAGTTAGGAGGTGAGATCTTTCAAAGGAGGAGAAAAACCCAGGCATAGACCTATTGGGGAATTCTATGAAGAGACTGTCAAGAGCAGTAAAGCTGATGGTTGTTAGATGTCTGTGGGAGAGATTTCTTGGTGTTGAGTGTCTTAATGAGGTGAAAAGCAAACTTCAGTGATTGGACGCTTGGCATTTATCCTATTTGAACCCAAAGGTTTCCTCTGGCATAGGAGTGGGTCTGTCAAAATGTGTGATTTTTGCCCTGCTCTGAAGTGTTCAGTGTAGAAGTGCATATGGCTGTAAAGGATAGAGCAGGAGGAGGCCATCCCCTGTGTGGTACTTAGCTGGTACATTCATTTGCGCTAAACCAAATAAGTTGTGGCAGCTGGAGCAGGATGGTGGAAAGGAGGGGGAAAAAAAGCAGGAGAGCAATGGAGTGAGGGAGGAGGTGCAGTAGGGTGGTGGAGCAAAGTATTGGTGGGGTGTGGCGTGGGCTGGGAGGCAAGAACTGCTCAAAGGCCAGGTGGGTCTGGCACCACGACTGTGCTGAGTGAGTGGGAGATGGAGAAACAGGCACAAGGCTTTGGAATGGGTGAAGCCGAAGGGGTGATGGAACAGCAGGGATGCCCAGATGGAGCCAACTTCTACAGAGCTTTTTTTGTATATCTGGCTGCGGTCTGGAGCTTTTAGGGCTGCTTTTAGTGTGTGAGCTGCTGCTCCACATTCATTCCCCTGAGCCCCACGGCAGGGATTTCTGGTTGACAGCGCCTGCATCAAGGGAAAGGACAACGCTCTGGGGTTTCCCGGGCTACCAGCCTTTCGCTGGGGGATTCTAATGCGGGCAGAGCGCTCGAGTTTGCCACTCCTGAGCCCCAAGCCAGGTGTTCTCGCCGCTCCCCCAGATCCGACACCCCCTCCCCCGATTGCCTGCGTCTGACTCATTCGCTGGTGCCTGTGCGAGAGCAGAGCGGGGCGGGAGAAGCGGGGGGGAAGAGCCTTCAAAGTAGCCGCGGCTGGTCTGGGTTTGACAAGGCGGCCGTGTGAGCTGTGCCCCTGCCAGCGCAGGGCGGCGGTGCCGGGGGCGGCGGAGCGGAGCGGCCCCGGCGCGCACCCGCAGCGCCGCGCCCGCGGCCCCGGGCGGATCCCGCCGCTCCTCCAGGAACCGCCGCTGCCAGTTCCGAGGAGCTCAGAGCAGCGCGGGGGGCTCCGTGCCTGCCGTCCTGGGGAACTGCTGCGGCAGCATTGCGATTGCCCCTTTGAACAGCGAGTAAAAAAAAAAAGGGGGGGGGAAGAGAGAAAAGAGAAAAAAAGAGGAAAAAAAAAAAAGATGAAGACGCTTAAATGCCTCCTGCCAAAAGTAAAGAGCGAATCTCAGTTGCGATGGCTCTGCTAAAACTTGATCATGCAGGATTTCAAGCGATAAAAAAGGGCTGCCGGGCTGCTATTTACTGCGGCGGGAACAAGTTGCAGGATGAAATCCAGGCGCTGAGGGACCTATTTTCCACTTCATTGTTTGCGAAGGAATCTACTGAAATGACTTTGAGGATCTTTAAACTGGAACTATGTGGAGGGAGAATGCAGTAAGTATTGCCTTTCTGGGGAGCACCGGTACGAGCCGAGGAGTTGGGCAGGGGCGCGGAGGCTCCGGGAGGCGCGCAGGGATGTCGGCGGTGCCGGATCCCGCCGATCCGGGCTTGGCTCTTAGTTCCCAGCCGGCACCGAGGACCAGTTAGGGAATGCCGGCTGCCTTTGCCTGGCGCGCCAGCGTCCTACATTTAGCCGGGGCTAATGAATGGAAATCAAAGCAATTGGGCTTCCCGTGGCGGGTTCAGCTAGAGTGTCTCCCTGGGTTTGTTTATGATAAATTGGGAATGAAGCTGTTCCGTTTCAAGAGCGAAAAGAGCTTTATCCCGCACGGCTTTAGCTGTGTTCCAGGTTATGCTCGTTTCGAACATGACAAGAAAACTCCTGCCCTTGATCATGTGAATTAGTTTGCTTCTAGCTGCCCTTTCCAGGTCGGACGTCTCTTCCCTTAGAGCTCAAACCCATCTATTTCACTTGGAAGCAGACGGGCAGTTGGGAGCCTAGGATTTTCCTGACCTGGATAGGGATGAGGAACGTTTCCCGGACGGCTGCGGGCTCTTAGCAAAGCGCTGAAATGTATTTCTAAGCGAAGGCGGGGAGGGGGGGGGAACTTTTGAGCGCAGTCACTTTATTTCTGTTCACATGAGGTTGAAGTACACGTTTCTTCCCCCCCGTCAACCCCGCAACCCGACTAACGCCTTCTCCCCGTCTCTGTCCCGTTCCCCGTGTCCAGCCCCCCCTCGCCTGTCTCCCTGTGCGCGTAGCTGCCCTCCCGGGATGCGATGTCGCCCGCAGGCTGCGGCGGGGATCACGCGTGCGGCCGGCGGCGCGGAGGCCGCCCCTGAGCCCGGGCAGCGAGGGGCGCGACATGCCCGCGGTCGCGACATGCCCTGCACCGACAGCAGCACCGGCAGCGACACCTGCGGCCCCTCCGGCTCCTCCCGCCGCTCCGTCTCCTGAGGCGCTCGGTACGTGCGGCCGCGCCCGCCGGGGGGCGCCCGAGCGCCGCGGCGCGGGGAGCTGCGGGAGCGGGGGGGGTCCTGTCGCGATAGTCGCGGCTCCCCCGGGACTGTCGAGAGGGACGCGAGGCGCTCGGGTTGGGTTTGCTGCCGCGTTCCGCGCTGGCGCTGCGGCGGTGGGTGGGAGCCCGGCCCGCAGTGCAACAGCGCAGCAGGGGCGCTGATGTGCGCGGTTAAAACGGTCTGTGGAGCGCTCGTCCCCTCGTCTGCCCCGAGAGGAGGTGATGGTGCTGCCAGCCCTTGTCTCGGTGCGCGTTTCGAGCAGCAGACGGCTCTGACTGATGATGGAGATGGGGCTGGCAGGATGAGAGGGGAGATGTGAGAAGTGCCACCACTGATTGGACAACCCCGCCAGTGTGCTCTGCGTGACGCTTCGCAACAAGCTTGGCTTTATGTGGCACAGGGACTCCCTTCTTGCAGCTTGCAGAGAGCCAGTTATGGGGGTGGAAATCCCTCGGGGCACAGAAACGGAGGGAGATCTTGCAGAGTCAGACCTGCTCTCCCTCTTCTCCCTCCTTCAGATAGTTCAGATCACTTCTGTGCCTCATCTCTCTCCCCATCCTACTCTGTCTATATTCAGCTCTCTACAGAGATTCAGTGAAGACATGAGGTAACCAGTGCAGTGATGCTCATTTATGGAACACCCTCCCCTTCAACACCAGGGACAACTTTGTGTCCAAGATCAGCAGTTCTGAGATGCTCAAGTCAATGCTGCATAAAAGGAGGGAGAAGAATTAAGATGGAATATTGTGCTTCTGAATCCGTTCCAGAAATGCAGTGTAGGCTTCCTTGAGCAGCAGCTGCCTAGGAGAGATCTTCAAAAATAAACCAGCATGATTTTGGGATGCTGTGAGATGTATGGAATATGTGGAGTGGGGTTTCCAGCAGACCTCTGGCTCACTTGTCTCATTTTGAGCTAGACCTGTTAGACCGTGACTAAATTTTAAATAGATGTTCAGGATGAAGAAAAATAGATTTCTGTTTTACCTGTTTTAGCGCAGCAAGGTTAAAGAGAAGGATGATAATGTCTTTTTTTTTTTTTAAATTATGTCAGTAATTTTATGTTTTATTGGCTATCCAGGAAGAATGTTAATGGGTCTTTTCCCTGAACTTGTGCTACATTTTTTGCTTTGCTTGTGGGAGACCAGCTGTAATACTGTTGTTATCAAGCCAAGTTTCTGAGGGGATACAAGAGGCTTAAAATGGAACTAAGGTGAAGAATGCATTATAAAAAGCTGCTAAAGTTTGCATTGTGCCCAGATGCTTTCTATTTAAAACCTTCATTGGAGCTCTACAGTATATATTTCTTTCCTCTGTGTTTTTCTTACACAATGTGATCGCTTTTACAGGGGACAAAGCTGGCAAAGATGAGGAAAATTGGCTGTGCTCTCCTGGTACTCCAAGCTCTTCTGGCGCCTTTGGATCTTGTTCGTGGAGCAGAGAAAAATTATCCCATCCTGAACATTGCAGTGATTCTGGGAAGGACCAAGTACATAACAGAGAGAGATATCAGAGCTCTCTGGACCAGGGAAATGTCAGCAGACCTGACTGTTGATGTCAATGTAGTGACCCTTCTCGTGAACCAGACTGACCCTAAGAGCATCATAACACATGTTTGCGACTTGATGTCAGGCACCAAGATCCATGGAGTGGTTTTTGGAGATGACACCGATCAGGAGGCAGTAGCTCAGATTTTGGATTTTATTTCATCTCAGACTTCTATTCCAATTCTTGGGATTCATGGCGGGGCCTCCATGATAATGGCAGATAAGGTAGGAAAAGTTATTACAAGCTTTTATTAGTCTAATATACTTCATTGTGTTGGTCTCTATCATGAGTAGTCAGTAAAAGCAGTTCAAAAAAGATGCTTCTAATTGTCTCTCTGTACTTTAAAAAAAGAAAAAAATATTCATAGCAGTGTCCCTGTTGATTGCTCATCAAATACTTGGAAATACTTTGGGGTTCGTGCTTGAAACTCAGCTTTTTGACACTATAAAAGCAGCCCTAATGAAATTTTAGTCTCCAGCACATTGAATGATGGTCAGCCTAGAAATTTTAAGAGCAAATATGGCACATGGATGTAAAAACAACCTCAAAATAGTAGGTTCATGAAATAATTTTACATCTTATCCCCAAAATCATAAACAGATGTTCTGTGGTGCTTACTACAGCGATAGACCTGAATGTGTATGAGGACAACAGTAGTAACAGGATAATAATATTAAGCCAGACTTTAGTGATCCACTACAGTCTATAAATTAAGTAGTCTTGCACACTTGAACCAGCTCTTGTAATGCGTACATTTATTAAATTAGTTTTTTTTTTTTTCATTGGGTACTTCTACTTTCCTACTATAGTCCATGCAAACCCATAAAGGGGTTGCCTGAAATCTGGAGGTAATGACATTGTTTTGTTGGAAAACATCTCTTTATGTAATCTCTTGTGAGACTGGAACGACAGAAGTGACTCATGTCTCAAGTTCTTTAACGCTGTAACAATTTTGTGGAAATTCTTGCTGGCACTGCAGCACTGATGTTGTGCGGTGATCACAGCTGCTCCTGGAGCAGGTGCTTAGCACCAGGCAGGGCTGAGCTCTCTGGTGTGGATTGCTGAAAGTCAGAGGAGCTCCCACTGTGGTGTAAAAGAGAGAGTTCAGGTGTGGGAAGTCACTGGTTTTCCAGTACATGAGGCTTTTCAATGTTAATTGCAATTTATTTCCTGTTATTTCCATCCTTTACGGTTTCTTATTAATGGAATATTATTGCTTCTCATGAATGACTTTTGAATAGTAAAGAGCTCTCTGAATACATCTGAAAAGGAAGTGGACCAGACATATTATTTTGTAACTTGAGGGAGAAAAAGAAGCAGGAAAGTGACAATGATTAGTTATGATTGAGGAATCAGCTTTGAACTTTGGAAACTCTTTACCTCTGGAAAAGACTTTTTCCACGGGGATAAGAGATCTGTTTCTCTTGGTGTTTTGAATGGTCTTACTTTTAAAATGTATGTCATACAAGGAGAGGACAGTAAGTGCTGAATTATGGCAGAGATTCTGTAACAACGGCTTTGACATCTTGATTTATATAGAAAGATCATTACAGTCAATGCTACTGTCTTAGATACAATTGCAGTGACCAAGTTACATAGGCAATTATTTCATGTGCTTTTAAATTACTGTAGAGATTTACTTGTCTTCATAAAGCTGGGTTTATATGTATTTTGGACTTCTACTGATACGTATTTCACTCACCTGTCTCTGCCAGTGTAAGAACACTTGAAGGTCTCAGCCAGTGCTGAATCAACTTCCCCACTCAGTAGCAGATGCAGGATGTTACTGATACAGATCTATTTTTTACTTTTATATAAAAAATGAATAGACTATCTTTCTTGTCTGAGTGGGTTACTACTGTATTCATTGTAGGCTAATATTGTCATTAGTATATTGCTGTCTTTGATTTTTGGGGATTATCACAGTTTGCTGATAAAACTTATGAGGTGAAATTTGGCTTTTAAGATTTCCACTTGGGAAGTCAAAATTGTCTTTTGTTTGTTAAAACAATCTAACAGAGCTGTGTCCAGTAACTTGAATTAGCTGAAGGAATTGTTTGTTCGTGTAACTGGAAATGCCTTGATTTTGAACTTAGCCTGTACAATGTGCAATGTCTTGCAACTGGGTTTGGAACATCACAGTAATGAGACTTGCATGTGTCACTCAATTAACCATTCATTTAGGAATGAATTTCTGGGAGATGAAGGTGAAATTCTCCATGCTGTCATAAAGGAAGGGGAGATGAAGTCTGAGGGAAAGGGACTGCAAATGCGAAGTCTTTCAAGTCAATGTCAGGATTTCAGCAGAAAAAGATTGATGTTGGCTGAATTGTGAAGGTTATTAGTGTTTAAAGTGTTCTGTTTTGCCTCATGCATTGGGATGTGCAAAAAAAGGTGGTCCCACTCCTGCCTGTGAATGTGGTTCTCTGACACTTTACTAAGGCCATTTCATTTCTATCCTTATCATATGTATTCTGTGCCAGGTGGCTGTTATATGATGCTTAACTGTCCTAAGCTGAACTAAACTAAAGGCACAGATATGAGAACTCATCTCTAATGCTCTGTCCTGCTGAAGACTTTACTGCATGACTCAGAGGAGATAAGCTTGCCATATTCTCTATGGCTAATAAATACTATGTCAATGTGAATCTGGCATGGTGAGCCATGCCTTCAAAAATCAGAAGTTGTTCTGGGTTTCTAAGGATGAGAGATCCCCACATGTGGAGTTTGCAGTGATTAATGCAGGACATGCAGCTCTTGAAGCGCCGAGTCCCTGGGCGAACACCTGCAGCGAGTGCTGTCTAGTCTAGACTGCCTCCTTGGCTGGCCCAGCTGGCTCCTCTCTGCTTCAGTTTGCTCAGAGTTTGCCTGCACCATCTGAGGAGAGACATTGCATGATTCAGACAATGAAAATAGGCATGTGAAGCCAACAAAACCAGAATGTTTTCTGAACCTAGCTGATCTGTTGTCATCTGACGTCAGTTGTCAAAGCCCTACCAACAAACCAATGTGACACTCGAGGGTGTACAGCACCTACCTGATCCCAACTGTGCTGTAGAGATACCCTTTGGACAGTGCCATGTGCTCTGCCTCCAGCTGACTTTATCACCTGCTGTTGGCAGGAACTCTTCTGCCAATGAACTGCTCCTTGGCTTTGGTCCCCAGTTCTGCCACAGACGTCAAACATATTCAGATGTGGGATAGTCTACTGAAACAAGATGGGAATTGTATGGGGCATCTGTGCCAACCTGCTGTGCATCAGCATCCCTTGGAGGATGCTGAAAACAGGCTGGCTGTTTATTCATCTTGTATCTCTTGACATTTGAGAGATCTCAACACAAACACTACTTAGGAACTCTTTTCTGACTTGAGTGTTTGGTTTCAAACATAGTTACCTCTGTTGCACCACACACTATAATTATAATGATAGCATTTGTGATACTTTTTAAAAACAGGACATCGTGGTTAGTTCTGTGTCAAGAGGGGGAAAAAAAGCCCTTACATATTTTAAATATCCAGTATCCAGGAATACTTGGTGTCCTTGAACCACTCTGCTTTTGCCTATTGGAGAATTAAATCTTTCTAACTTCTCATTAGAAGTCTTTCTGAAAGATGTAGCTTGAAGCATTTTATTGTTGTGGAAACACAGTTACAGTGCTAGTCAAAAGGCATTAAAGGTGAGGGTAATTTTCTGGAAGGGCTATTACAAAGTAATACTTTCTGAAACGGCTCTGGAAGTGTTATGCAAACTAAATAATTGCTTTTTGAAAAGATAAGTGCTATATATTATTATATTATAATAATATAAGAGCAATGGAGGTTAGAAGGGATTGCTGTAGGTTTTCTAACCCAGCCCTGGCTCAGTGATGAGCTGACATGGAATTCAGATCTACTCAAGTTTTGAATATCTCCATGGATGTATATACACCACAGCCTCTCTGGGCAATCTGTTTCAGTACTTAACCTTTCTCACCATGCAAATATTTTCATTTTATCTCATTAGAATTTCCCTTGATACCACAAGCTCCTATTCTTTTGCTGTGAATCTGAGTCCAGCTCTCTCAGTGTAGTTGTAGCCTGCAATTACACCGCTCCTTACCTGTCGCTTTCCTGGGGGAAAAGAGATCCCTTGGCCCTTTCTTGCACCTCTAGACCTCTGGACTCACTTGGATTTATTGATGTCTTGTATGGGGGGACCAAGACGGGACAAAGGACTGCAGATGTGGCCTCAGGAGTACGGGAGAGGGGAGTAGTCCCTCCCCTGGAGCAGCTGTGCTCCTGCTAACGCAGCCTGGTTAGGCTCTGCTGCCGGAAGGGTGCACTGCTGACTCATGTTCAGCCTGTGTTGGGCCCCCCATGTCCTATTATATTTAATAAAAGAGGCATCTAACTGTGAATAAGCAGTGGGGGAAACTGCACTTTTAAATCTCGTTTGTTCTTTTGATGGATATTTTTCAGCTATTTTACTGAAATACTTGCAGATGTTTGCATTACGTGATTTTTTTTCAGCTCATTGTAGGTATGGCTTGGGATTGCTCTGTTTTTCCTCATTCCTGAGATGCAGAAACTGTGCTGCACTTGTGCAAAGCAGAGCTCTGAGCCCAGCCTTGTAACCGTGATCAGAGTCCACCCTGACTCCTGGCTCTGGTACTGAGCATTTATGCTCCCTTATCCCTGTGTGACTTTGTTCGCTGCTCCTAAAGTTCCTCCACACATCTTACACCTTCTTTGCCAATAGCACAGTGACCATCTAAAAAACCAAATAGGTTCAAAACTCACACTTCACATTGCACTGTGCATAGGTGTGCTTCAATTCTTATGCTTTCAAAATTGTTGTGATGAATGGCAGGGTGTGTGTGTGTGTGTGTGCGTGGGGGGGTTGGATTTATTTTTCATTGTAGAATCTTTTCTGGAGGTCATACTTCATGGAATGTGCTCATCAATTCCCACATCTTCCATATGTGTTGTGTAGATTTCTGTCCAGCTCGTTTAGTTGGCTTGTAAGAGCAGTTCTGTATTTTTTCTTATCGAAAGTCTTAAATTTACAGTTTTCTATAATAACTTCTCATTCCTGCCCTTTCTGATAACTGATATTAGCACGTGTATGGCACTGTACTTCTGAGCATGATATTGAGTTTGGCTTTGTTACTGCGAAAGGCTGGAAGATTAAACTGTAGGTTGAGAAATACTTTAGTGCAAAAATACCAGTATTCATATAAGTGGTGTTTCAGGTCTAGAAATAGGAGCTTGCACTATTCTGTTGCACACAATACTTCCAGATTCTGACTCATTTAAAGAAGCAGTTGAGTTTGATTTTTCTTCCCCTCTAACTGTACTATTGCCCCTATGGGAAGAATAACTTTCAGATATTCTAATTTTTATTTTGAGCTGCAGTAAAAATGTAACATTGACCTCCCTGTAAATCTGTGTTTACTTTTCCACATCCATTAAAGCCAACCTATATGTACTTTTTAAGAAGATTCTTGTATATCCTTAAAGATTTTTAGAACTAGAATGTAATCTGCAGTTGTACCTTTTACACACACACGTAATAACCACTGGTTAAAAGTCTGCTTGAGATCTGTCTTGCCAGGTGAATGAAGTGAGTAGATGTAATATCTTGTGGGTTTTTTTCATCAGAGGCAGTGCTGTGTGAGGTGTTGGGATGGAGCCTGCTCATTAGCCATTGCTTTTCCTGAACTGGCATCTCTAGGAGGAAGTAAAGCTC